TACTATCAATGACAATTCAATTCGAATTTTGAGTTCAATGCAATCTCTTACTTCGTTCTCCAGAATACACGCTTCGTTTCGTGTCGTTGTCGTCTTCTGTTTTTTGATTTTCTCACCAACTATGATATTAAAAAGTCAATAAAACGATGAACTGAATTGTAATTATACTTTTAGCTTCGAAATAATAAGTACTAAAGCCAAGAGCAGGAAGTGAAGTTGTGAATATATACTGGTTTTGAGCAGAACTCTTGCGACCAGGAATGTTTCTCGTGATGGTTGAAATCGGAACATACTAAAATAGTACAGAATAGATATTCTAAAATCATCATTCATACAGTCGTACTTCGGCTGAAACAATGCTTCCCATTGGATCGCGAATCAAATATTCTTTTGTAACAGGTACTCGAACGTGATAAATAATTGGATGAATTGTTGGATTCCAAAGTGTTAATGTGAACTATGAGGATATAATATATTGTCGAGTGTATCACAATAAATGAGATTCTCAATAGTTTTTCCATTACGGCCTCGGTATTGAATCAGTTATCTTTTATAGAAAAATGATGCATGTGACTCAAAACACGAAAAGTTCAATAAATATTTTTTTTCTCATGACAATTTGTATATACTTTTCATTCATTACGCTAATCATTAAATTAAGTTTGGAAAATAAAATGCAAATATTATGATAATTATAGAAGAGACATTTAGGATCGATTTCAACCTCTAATTTTCGATTTTAGTATTAGAATCTTTTTCTATCTGATGATAAATAAAGATCAGTAGGAGAATTCACAAATAAAAATATGTTTAATAATATTCTGTGTGGCGTAGCCATAGAAACCTTCGATATCTGACTAAGAGTCATACCCACACTCAAAAAGCCAAGATGATAAGGTTTTAAATTTTACACAGTCTATAATGTCAAAATGCAGTTTTTGATTCTATAATCGAGAAATTAAACTTGGATCTTGAAAATATCTTCCATAACTATTAGCGTAATAAATGGAAAATACATACAAATTGTTCTATTGTCAAAATGCTGAGAGACTCTTTCGTTATGATACACCTGATATCTACCTGTTTCTGTCCTTCAATGGGTAAACATTCGCTAATGTTTGAATATTGACAGAGAAACTGAGTTGCATTCATTGGTACTTTACTCTCGTTCGGCAATAATTTAGCATAGGCATTGTTGATCACATCCTACAAATAGATTTACAAATGACACAATATCTTAATAACATACCGCGGCTTTATCAATTCCTTCGGACAGCCGTTGTGCATAATCATCAGCAACATTTTGCTTCTCTGTTCCACTGATTGCATCGTGATGTTGAACAATACCCATCGCTTCACCTATGATACTTCTGACGTCAAATCAAGGAAATAAAACATGCTTGTCTTACTCAGATAAAAAATATCATTGCGCAAATTGATTTGTGAAAGTGCATTAAGTTGACGTGTAGCTTGAAGAATATTGTTTGAGTGTCGTTCATAACGTTTGAGTGCAGCTCGTGAAGTAAAATAACCCGTCCAAAATCCGTGTGGAGTATCACCAAGAGGAAAAAAATCATCCGTTTTAGATGTCCATGCTCTGTCAACTTTATTCAACGCATATACGTAACATGAAGGTGTCGAATAGAACACATTAACATCGCTACCATTTGTTTGCTGAACATACAGATAGAGAACGTAGAACAATAGTCAAAGAATGCATACCTGAGCATTGACATATTTGATCAATTTATCCAAATTTTTGAACCATAGATTAGCATTTTCATAATGAAAATCACTACCCATCGTCATCATGATATGATTAGTAGCAAAACCATATGCCTGAAAGTATTCAAATGATTATTTCATGTTAAAATTTTAGCTTTACGAAAAGAGTAAAGCTTCGTCAAAGTATAAAATTACAATGAATATTTGATTGATCAGAAAAAAATAACAATCGTTTATAATCTCAAGTTAAGCGTTTTGGAGAAAGAAAGTTGCCACTGAAATTGTCTCTTGCGTACAAAGTTGTTTTCCGATTCATTCAGTTAGTTTTTACAGCAAACACAGGGTTTATATTCTTAAGTTTATTCTCAATTCGATAGTGTTTCTGATACTAAATTTTAAAACAGACTGTTAGGATCACTATCAGGTTTCTGGAATAGTTGAGACTGTCGGAGACTTTCGTTCCATTTCAGAAAGTTTCTATAAGACTCGTACGCGGCTTTGAATGAGTCTTAATAGGCACTAGGTTACGTCGATAAGACAGTACAAACTCTTACGAGACTTGTTGAAACTTCTATGACATTCTTAGATTCAATGTGAACAAATATGACTCGTATAAAATTTGTAGTTCAGGCTTTCTTCTCTATAATAAAAAATAACTTGACTCTTCGTAGTATTCCTTAACGGATAAATTGCGGCTAAAAATTTAGGCAATTACTTTTATATCATGAATAAGTCTCAATATTTTTCAAAAAGATCGAAATTTGTTAGATTAAGAAAAAACACTAGAAAGCAATGGAGAAAATGTCTTTCTTTTTAGAAATCCTACGAAACGACTGTGAAAGTATCGGGAATCGAGTTAAGTTCGTCGGTTAAGCTCACATTAATCGCGTTCAAAAATAATTTAATCTTGCGACTTCCAACTTCACCATTAGAAATTGCAATTGGATTGTTAGATTTTTGGATGCGATCAATACTGTGTTCTGAAGACAAAATTTATGTTTAACACAATGAATGATTAAAAATAGATTATGCAATTTCATCAATTCTATCGACAAGAATTGTTCAGAGGGTTCATTTCAGCAAAATATAGAAAAACAAACCTGGTCATGTGCAGCATCGATGAATGTTTGTACTCGTTCAGGAACATTGTAATCATTCAGGCTTGGATCATCCTACAATAAGAATGTACACAGAAACGAAAAACAGGAAATGAAAGTCGAAAGTTAAAATAAGCATTGGCTGAATATTCGTGACTTCGATACGGAAAATTCGACTAACTATAATAGGTTGATCACCACAGGATCGATCGAAACAAAGTGAGTCTGGTGGATCATAAAAATCTGCCAAAAGACCAGTAAATAGCCAACTCTGACGGCCTACAAATACGTGTTTGTGTAGAACTTCTAATACAGTGTTATCAAGACTCACCCAAATTGGCACTACCCTTCCAGATCATTTCCATTGTTTTTGTACTATTACGTAGGTCGGAATCTTGATAATCGGCTCGTGCAAAAAACAGACCATCGAAGCCCATCTTCAAAATAAGAAAATCTATTATTTACATTCCTTTGAAATTATTAAACCTGTGCAAAAAGTGATGCAACTTCGCGTGAATGACCAAATGGATCTATTTGCCAACCGATTTTTGGTCGAGCGCATTCACCAAATTGGTCACGCAAAAACTCAGCTCCTAACGTGTGTTGATCGATAATCGAATTATAATACGTTGTCGCTTCATCATGCATGCACCAACCGCCAGAAATAAACTCGAGACGACCTAGTTTAAGTAAATTTAAAAACAATCATGATACTTGAACTAACTTGTACATTTTCAAACAGTATATACATAACAAAAAAGATCTGCACTAACCTGCATTTACGAGGTCTTTGACGATATTACGTGTATCGTTTGATTGTTGATTCCACCAACGCCAGAAAAAAGCTATTTCAACATAGATAAAACGTCGTTCAGGATTTTGCACGAGTTCTTCAATGACTGAATCAAGAATGTATTGAACAGAGGCATGCTGAATGTCGTTGCGAGCTAGAAAGAATATATGAACGCGACAAATATAATTGTACATATAGAGAAAAGAAGTTCACTTCAAAACACTCATCCGAATGAAATTTCTTAAGAACTGTTCCAAAATCTAGATTTTAAATGTATATAATTTTATCAAATCGACCAATTGTAGTTGCAAATTGTTATTGCAACTCTTTTAAGTGTTATATGAAGAGAAAAGTATACTATTAGTAGTAGAAAAACAGATGGTCTATTTGGAAATCTCAAAAGAATAAACCCAGTTGTAATAGGGATTTTTGCACACCGTGCAGTCGATCTGATAGAATTCGATGCGTTTCAAATTTTGATTTTGAAACAGTTTTCCAGAAATTTCCATACACCGTAGCGAACTTGTTATATGCTATGGCTATTTCTCAAAGCTATCTTATCCCGAAAAACAGTCTTTTTAACTCTCGTTGCTGTTTCCGATCAGACAAAATTGAACAGGATTTTAAGATGATTATTAAAGAAGTTGGAGAATTTTGACATAGTATACATGTCTCACACATATATGCAAAGCCTCACTCACCCCCGTAGTAGTATTGATCGACTGTTTTAAGCCAACCGACATCATCGTGTGTGTGTGGTACTATGTGAACATTGAGTTTATTTGCTTGACCCAAATTGCATGACTACAATAGACATACTTATTTTCTCTACCTATTACTAAAGACTCTCTATTTACATTATAACCACAGGTGTTTCGCGACTTGTGTGATGCTGCAAAACACTGTGCAACAATACAAAGAAGAACACCACAGTATGTTGAAATACGCATTGTTTGGTAACACAACTGTATGTAGTTCACCTTGGATGAATTGAAATCTGTAATATGTCGTTAGTCGAGAAGTTTGTCTTTTCGATGTGACCAAATAGAGAGTGAAAGATAAGAGCAAAATTCTTGATGATACACCTATGTTCTATTAGAAAGATGTTTTGATAAGAAACCAGATAAAACGCTCTAAGCTTGAGTTTAGACATTTAACGAATTGAAAACTTGTGAAAACAATACCAATGATATACGACCTAATTTGATATACAGATGAAAACAATTAGGGCGTGGGTGTGAGGATGAAATATAAATATACCACCCACACTCACGTCATTCTCCAACAGAACACTTTCTAATTTCTTTCGATCACTTTTATTTAATCAGAAAATCTTCTTAACAAAAAAAAAACTTTAGTGTATCAGTTCGTTACGAAATATATTATTAATCATCCCAGCGATCATAACCATTTTCTTTAGTATTGTATAAATGATCTGTTTTCATATCATTGTCAAATTCTTTTTTCCAAGCATTCATCGTATCATCACAAGAACTTTCCATTTTATTTGTATCAACCGATGGCCATGGTGCATGATCAATTACATAACC